CCCCGCCCAGCCCAGAGAGCATGCTGGGATGCTGGGGGAGTCTAATTTATATTAAACCAGCAAAGGGTCTGGGACAGACATTGCATAAACTGGTTTGAACAAAATCAGTTAAGTCTGATAGTACATTCAACAAGGTTTATCTCAAACTGGTTTCAGCCATTTTAAGACTGGTTTATGTGCACTGAACATCTGTTCTCTTACAGGTTTAAACCAGTTTCTGATCAACTAAACCAGTTTATATGTAATGCCTGTCCCTAGCCATGATGTCAGCTGTTAGATCTGAAAGATTTCCTACCCCGTCCCTTTTAAATACAATCCTATTTTGTGTGCACACAGCTCAGCCCTCACATGGTACTTGCTCTTTGTGAACTGTCCAAATCTGGTGTCTGTATCATTTGACTGCTTGCAGCAGCACCCTGCCAATGCTTTATTGAATTGCTTGCTATTCCCATCAGAGATACAAAAATATTAGGATCTATCAGCATACTCCATCTCATGCCCTACAGAGCCATCTGCCCTGAACTGTGGAAGGCTTGCCCTCCTCAGTGTTATCTGCCACTAGGACCGTGCAAAGCAGCTAGTATTTGCTTTGGATCTGGCTGATTCAGGGGACAGTGATTCAATTTGGTGATTCAACTCACTGCCCCAAATCAATTCCGCCAAATCTGATTTAGAGATTTGGCCGTGGCTGAATTGGCCAAATCTCTGAATCGGACGGGCCCCATCCCCCACCCTGTCAATGGCTGCTCCGCCCACCCTCAGCCTCCTAGCTCTTTAAAAAAAAAGTCCAGTACTCACCAGCTGCTGCCAGGAGGAGAGGCGATCCCTGCTGCCTCCCACTGCTCTATGCTGTGTGGGGGGCTCTGTCACAAGCCCCCATACCTTGCCTGCCCCAGCTCCTGGCACTTTAAAAAAAAAAGCCCTGACTCACCAGATCCTGCCAGGTGGAGGGCAATCACCACTGCCCCCTAGTGCTCCGGGCTGCTGCAGCAGCCAGTGAATCAGGGCTTTTTTTTTAAAGCACCAGAAGCTGGGGTGGGCAGGGGAGCCATGGCTGGGGGGGCTCGTGGAAGAGCCCCCCATGCAGTGCCGGACAGCGGGGGGCAACGGGGATCGCCCCCACCCCCAGCATCAGCCAGTGAGTGGGGGCTCTTTTTTGAGCCAGGAGCTGGGGTGGGTGGGACAGCCATAATGGGGGCTAGGAGAGCGGGTGGGGGTTAGGAGCACTCAGAGGGGCTGGGGGAGCAGGCAGGGGATGGGGCTTAGTGGGGGTCCCACCCCACTCCTCCAGTCCCCCCTTCCCCATCCCCTACTTACCAGCACAGGTTCTGGGTCCAGTTCTCTGTGGTAGAAGTGGGGACTACCCAAATCTCTGAAGCTCTCCAACTCTTTTCTGAATCAGTTCAGAAAGCTTTGAATAGACTTGGACCTTTTTATTGGCTTCCTGATTCGATTTGATTCAGAGATTTGACCACCGAATCGGGCCAAATCGAATCAGCACCTGAAGCTTTGCACAGCCTATCTGCCACTGCTCTGTAGTATTGTAATACTTTAGGGCTGATGCCTCACTCATGATTTTCTTTACTTTTATTTTTCTATTCTCCTTTCTGTCTCCCACTGACACTCTAGTGTTGTACTGAGAGCAGATCTATGGCTTCCCTTGCCCTGCTGCCCAGCAGTGACTGGCACGCCTGTGTCAACTACTCTAAATGCTCTCAGTTTCTGGACTTCTTATCAATAGTCTGCACTTGCCCACATCACCAGCATTTGGTCACATGTCTCTAGCCTGCTATTGCTGCTTAACAGTGGGGCTGGGATTACAATGCAGCTTGCTCCACAGTCTAGCAGGAATCAAATTAGTTATGGATCTCAATAGCATAGTTGCAAATTTGGCAATAGGATGATCAGTACACTGAAAGACCTTGGATATGGTAGAATCATATTGCAGGTATCCTCTTTACTGTAAGTCCCTGTGTCCTCAGTCACTGCACTTAATGATTTTTTTTCCCCCTTCCAGGGGTAGCTACACTTGGAAGAAAGTGGTTCTGTTTCTCCACATATCTTGGTACCATGGGCCATAGGCTGGGTATTTTTCTCTCTCTTTTGTGCTACTTTCTACAGTATGTGCACAGGGCCATCATGCCAGCATTCTCTGTGGGTCTGTCTCTGTCCTGTTTCTGGGGTTCCTTTAGCTTCCTGCAGGTTGCACTCCTTCTACCCTCCATGCATGTCAATACACTCAGGATCCATGCACAGAGTAGGCTGACCACACAGATCTCACCCCTCCACCAGGGAAAGATAAGGGTTTGCTATCACTGCTGCACCATGGACAAAAGGAGTAAGGAGTGCTCTGTCTGCATTGCTTTGGTACAGAAGTAGTGATATCATGCCCACTTGGAGCACAGGGTGACAACTAGAAAGGAAACAAACCCTGAAACAATTCCATGGAGCTCCACGCAGTGTCAGGATGGCTCTCAAACCAGCTCTGAAAATGGTGCTCTGTTTTTGTGGGTCCCATATCTGGCCCTCTATCTTTGAATTAACAGCAGTGCCAGATGACTCAGACACATATTCTAGTTATCCTTAGGAAGACATAGATCCCCTAATGGCTGGCATGATCATAAAACTAACACTGTTCTAAAATGGAATTCATGCTAATCAGTCCTGATCTTGCTTGTGTATTTTCAAGAAACTCTTATTTTTTAGCTGATGCATCAACCATGCCATCCAGTGAATGTCACTAAAAAACTCAGCAAAAAATAAGCTGAAGACTTGTAAACTAATGGCTTGCCTACCCTAATTTTTTTTTATTTCTCAGCATGTGGCTGCATTAGTGCAAACCCTTATGGTTGATGTGCTGCACCAATATGAAGGTGTGGTTTACCTTAGCTTAGAAGTTACTCTCAGTGAAGCCACTTACTCTATCAGTACAGTCCTTCTAGCATAAAGTGGTTGCATCCGTACAGCTAAATCAGCTCAAAAATCCCCCAATACAAACAAAGCCTCTTATATTCATAACAGTCAGTGCAGGTGTGAGAGTAGAAGTAAACCAGCATGCATCATTCTGGGGCAATGAGATAGGAAATACGCATTCATAGTGGGGCACTGGGACTTGCTAAATGAGTTTCTGATAGTCTCCATAGCAATGGAAAAGCATACCAAGACGAGAAACCACATAGAAGATATATGCCAGAGATACATCTCCTTGACAACAGCAGGGGCATAGGACAAGAAGAGCTGCGTAACAAACTAAAGGTAGTTCCCACACATCCTCCACAGCTAAGGTCACTTAAACATCATAAAGCGACCACTCTAAACACAAATAATAAACAACATGAAACTAAACCCCATTACTAAGAATGAAACTAAAAACCATTTAAATAAACTGGAAAACCTGTGTGTGCATAGATATGTACATGGTACAATATTATGACACAAAAACCATGTCCCATTCTCTGGAGGGGATCATAAGCTCTTACCCATTTCCCCCAGGCCTGGCCCTTTCTATTCTTTCATCACTCCTTACAACATCCTTCATCCTGTTGTAGCCCTGACTATTCCTTGCTTATGGTCCTTGTCTGCAGTGGCTCTTTAGATCAACTCAGAGCTCCATGCTTTAGACTCAAACATTGGGTAGAAGGAAGTGACAAACAAGGTGAAGGAGGGGTCTGTCAGAGCAGAGGCAGGAGGGAGGGATCACGATACAGAGAAGCAAACAAGCAGGTAGGAAAAAAGGGATCTTACATGTATGAACAGAAAGCCAAAACTCGTGGGTGATTGGTGCCTCCTGAGTCTGGGGGGAAACCAGATCACCAACGGGGGGGGGCCCACCGGCTGATTGCCAAACCTGGAATGACCTGCGACAAAACCAGCGAAACCAGAAGTGCACTTCCTCCGGCACTTCTGGTTTCGCAGCTGGCATTTCCAGGGGGTGCACGGCCAGTCTCAGGGAGTGCACGTGCACCCATGTGTGCCCCTACGCATTGCCAATGCTAAAACTTAATTGCACTGAAAAATGGTGGGAGCCAGCAGCGAGAGTCAGGGGAGGTCAGCATGAACAGCATAGATATCTTAGCAACTACTTTTAGAAGGGCTGGAGGGAAGTAATATTTGTATTGGAGGCTGTCAGACAAATCATTCCGCCATTTAATTTGGCTTAATTAAATTATATGGAACCAGTCAGATTGTTTGAGGGATTGTATATTTAGCTGAGATTGGTTCCATTTTCCTTTTTCTAGGAACAGGATGAGTCCCACACATTTGCCCATTTGAACATGGACTGCAAACGTAAGTATCTGTCTCTCATGTGCAGTCAGGTAAAAATGCAACAGGGACTTACGTTTGTGTAGCAGGGCACTGAGGTGCCTGCTACTGGTGAATCAGTAAGTAGGGAGCCCAACTGCTGGTTGCCAGGGTAACCAGGGGAAGTCAGCTGACTGGAAGGGGCAGGGCCTGGCCCTTATATAACTCCCAGGCTGAGGCCAGGGAGGCAGTTCCCTGCTGGCAGCCCAGGGGGAAGGAACTCTGCTGGAGTGAATAATGAGTAGAGGCCAAACTGCAGGTATGGCCTGAGACTGGGGATGGAGGGAACAACTCTGAAGTGGTGAGAGGAGGGTTGGAGCCAGATGGCTTAGAGTTATGTTATAGCCAAGGGGCTTGTGTTTTGTTATTGTTTGACCAGAGGACCGGGTGAGGCTATAAGGGGATGGAGAAGGCCTCATAGGGGAGCCACGGCCACATGGAGACCCCAGAGAAGCGGGGGCACTGAGAAGCCCCAGAAAAGGGGCTGCAGAAAGCCAGAGCGCCTGTGGGGCGTGGCTGCAAGACAAGGGCTGTGCAGAGCCCGACTGCCAGGGGGCGCAGAGAGCGACAGGGGCTGAGGCTAAGACCGAACAACGTCCGGTAGATCTGTGAGGCTTGGGGCGTGGTACAGGGGTGGTTGGAGCCATGCATAGCCCATAAAGCTCGGGTGTTTGGAACCTGTTATATAACGAGGATTGGGGTAGCTGGAACCATGACCAGGAGGACGAGCGGCACCTTCCCTTTAACTTTTATAAGATCAAGACGTGGCAGGCGAGAACGAGGGTACGTTAACACAAAGCTGGCACAGTAAGGGGCGCTAGGGAAGAGCACAGCAACCCTAGGATGTTTTCCTCTCCATCTGGTACAATCTGCTTATATATAAAAACATAGGTGCAGGCTTTTCAGACAAACTGCACTATCTAAATGGAGGCCAATATTAATGCTGTTTAAAAATTGTTAAAATATGAACTCCCTTCTCCCCAACACTGATTTCAATTCACTGTCTCTGCTTTCATTGCTTTTTTGTAAAACTAGGGATAAGAAGACACTTTCTGCTTTTCAGAGTTCTTGTCATATTGTCTTCCAAGTATGGGTGAAATATTAAGTAATTGGCTAAGCCAACCCCCTTCAGGAGCTTTCTAAAAGCTCATTTCCTTTGGCTGACTATTACAAACCAGCCAACCCTGTTTTTATATAGCATAACTCATCAGTCTTTAAAGTTCACTTGTATTTTGAGACACAAAGTGCAACTGAACCAAAAGAAAAGAGCTCTTTGGAACTAACAAGACACATGCTAAACATACTTTCTAAATCATTTCAGGTTTTGTAAAAATATATCCCTCACCCACTGTCAGCATTTAAAATTGGCCAGATGCTGATTGGTTGTATTCAATACGTGTAAGGCTAATTCCAAGTATAGTCACAGAGAAGTAATTTAGACTACGTATGCATTAAACTGCTACTAAACTATAACAATGCTATCATAATGTGGCCCAAAAATATTAGCTGAAAACATACTGTAATACAAGTGCATAACTACCTACAGATAAACTTTACACTTTAAACTGTAATAATAACCCAAGTTGTACGCATTACTTTAATGCAGACAGTTTTGCTCTCTTCCTTTTTTTTTTTTGGCCTTTCACTGTCTACTCGCATAGGTTTTTACAAGATCACTCCATCGCTGTGGGATCTGAACACTTTTTTTTCCTTGTGTTTCTTATATTTATTCATGGTATCATGATGTCATGGACCTTATTTGCACTATCTGTGTCAATAATGCAGTTTGTCACTCAGGCAGGGACTGGCTCTTCTGTACGTTCTGTGAAGTAACAAGGACATTTGGAGGCTGCAGGAAATGTACAAATTATAAATAATGCAAATAGGGTTTGATACTGTATAGTGCTGAGTAGCATGAAACACCTGCAGAACTGGGGCTGTTAAGTAATGGAGCTGAGTCTCTGTTCTTGTTCTCCCGCCAGGTACAGAGCAGGATGGCTGTGCTGTAAATAAATACTGTACCATCATTTATCATCTTAATGGCAAAGATAAATAAAGCACAGCATTTTCAGGCACTTAAAGTACATCAAAGCAGGGAGCTCAGTTATTTTTGCAATAAATAAAAACC